GGGGGGGGGTTTACCGGGTGTAAATATAAAATAATATCTTCTTACCTCCTCTGCTGCCAGTTCCAGCAATGTCTCCTCTCTACTTCCTCCCAACTCATCTTTTGATCTCTTGCCAGAACTTCCTGTTTATACTGCTACATCACTTCCTGTTTGCGTTCAAAGCCAGAACGCCGCCGTGTGTTGAATATAAATACTGCGGTCTATCGTATGTTTCACTATTATTGATTACAGACATTCATACGGCTCCTTACACATCGTACATTCACATCAGTCCCCGCCCCCAAGGAGCTGACACTCTAATGTCTCATCTTACATACATAAACATACTACGGAGAACGCAGGAGTCAATTATCTGACCAGAATGTGTTTGGAGTGTGGGAGGAATCTGGATGAGCACGGGGACAACTTGCAAACTCCATGCAGATGGTGTCCTAGTTGGGATTTAAACGAAGAAGCCCAGAGTATATATATATATATACACTATATTGCCAAAAGTATTGGGCCCCTCCCCCTCCAAATCATTGGATTCAGGTGTTCCCTGACATTTCCCGGCTACTGAATATTCCGCCGCGCTCACCTGTTACCGGGATTATAACAAAGTGGAAGCAACCGGGAACAACAGCAACTCAGCCAGGATGCGGTCGGCCTCGTCACATGACAGAGCGGGGTCAGCGCAGAAGCCGGCGACGTGAATAATATCATCATCAATATACATATCACCGGGAAGGATATGCAGCTCATATCAGATCCATTCTCTTCCGGAGTGTTTTTTTTTACTGCAATGATGAAAAGTCCCCAGAACACACATTGGGATAAATTTACTAAAACGCCTATGACACTCTTCTGTCGCTATGGCCCTTTAAAACAACCTGAAAGAAGCATCACCTGTGTGAATTATCTGGCGTGCAGCAGGGCTTCCTTTGTGAGTAAAACTTTTCCCACACTCTTAACATAATTAAGGATGCTCTCTATGTTATTTGTTTGCAAGATGTCTTGCTTTTGGCCTTTTTCAGTAAAACTTTTCCCACACTCTGACCGGGGGAAAAGGCCGCTCACTTGTGTGACTTGGGGTTTAAGAAGATTTCCTTTCACACAAAAACATTTGCTGCACTTGGTACAAGGACCTCACCTGCGTGTCTCCTGTGGTGTACAAGAAGAGCGTTTTTCTGTGCAAAACATTTCCCGCACGCTGAACAGCAAAAAGGCCGCTCACCTGTGTGAGTTCTCTGGTGTGCAGCAAGGTTTCCTTTCTGAATGAAAGTTTTTCCACACTGTGAACATGAATAAGGACGCTCACCTGTGTGAATTCTCTGGTGTGCAACAAAAGCTTGTCTATAAATGAATGATTTCCCGCACTCTGAACATGAATAAGGACGCTCACCTGTGTGAATTCTCTGGTGTATAACAAAAGCTTGATTATGAGTGAAACGTTTCCCGCACTCTGAACATGAAAAAGGACGCTCTCCCGTGTGAATTCTCTTGTGTGCAGTAAGGTAGGGTTTCCGAATGAAATCTTTCCCGCACTCTGAACATGAGTAAGGACGCACACCTGTGTGAATTTTCTGGTGTAGAATAAGATTGGCTTTTAGTGTAAAACTTTTCCCACACTCTGAACATGAACAAGGATCCTCATGAATTCTCTGGTGGTTACGAAAGTCATTTTTCTTGTTAAAAGATTTCCCGCATTCTGAACATGTATAAATGGTCTGTGGAGATGCAGGAAACTGGCCTGGGCCTCAGCACATGGCAGGTGCTGAGGGACCTAGAGGACTAGGATACACCGATACTTTGCTGGGCCCCATACACGTGGCAGGTGTTCTAAGAAGATACTACCACTAACCTGGAGTGCTCTGAGGGCACAGAGATTCCATTTCCTGAAGAGGAAAATACCTGATGGAAGCTGGGTCGGGGAGGAGTCCGCTTGTTGAGGGGTACCGCAGAGGAGCTGGTGCGAGCATCCGTCTGGGACCCACAAGGGAGATCCCTCACCCTATTCCAGGTATCTGTTCGCGGTATTGTTACTACTATTGGTCCCTGGGACCAGATCACAGTGCTATCGGCCATTGCGGTTGCTAGGGGAGAAAGCTGTCCTCCGAAGTATTTCCAATGGCATCCTACAGATCCTAAACCCTCTCTCTCCTATTGATGTTGCAAATAAATACCCTAAAAAGAACCCTAAGACTCGATCCGTTCTGTCCGTGAGTGTCGGTGTGCTGTTGCTGATCCAAGGGGACCGGTAGCTGGAACCAACAGGTAGGAGCACCAATGTCGTAT